GTTTTCAGATTGTTCTTAGCCGAAGCCAGGTAATGGCCCTGGTATTTCCAACGATTTGTATGAACTTATATGTATTTCGGAGCTTGAGTATGATGCGGTTTCCGTATCATACTGTAATCATGTCTTATTATGCGGTTTACACACTTACAAACACACACACACACACACAAACACACACACACACACACAAACACACACACACACACACACACACACACACACATACACACGCACACACACACACACATACACACCTCACCTTTTTAGATATCTATCAATATCACCACCCTTCACATCTTCTCCTTTTTATCATACCTTCCTCCCACCTCTATCACTGCTCCCTCACCTTTGCCCCTTCTCTTTTTCACTCGCCGTCTCCTCGATCTTCCCTTCGTGTGTAATCTCTCCCCGGCGCTCCAGCGTGGGAAGAGATTCTTCCCCCTTTCCTTTGCCTGCAATCTCTCCCACGTGGCACACCCAACGTCACCCGGGTAGAAATCACCCCCCTCCCTGGGTAAAGGGTGCTTCTCGTGCACCCCCCTCCCTCGGTGAGAGGTCCCACTAGCACAGAGGATTGGAGCACGCGCCTGAGATCAATCAAGCACCACTTTCTGCACCTCTCCACCGACCGGTCCGGAATCCGCCATTAAATCCTATCCTCTTTGTTCGTAGGACCTGGCCCCAGGTGGAAAACTACAACTCCGCCATTTGTCCGCCGGGAGTATCCTCGGGAAATTTGAGCGGAGCCACCCTCGGAACGACAAATTGCCGATATGTCCCTGCGCTAGAGGACAACGGACAAGTACTGCGCTCTCACTGCCTGCGCTATCTGGCAAGGAGGAGGGGATCAGAAAGCGAAAGAAAGAAAAGTAATTGACCGCCTGCCCCCATGCGTGCGCGCGCGGCGATGACGTGCACCACCATGATTGAGTGCCGAGGCTTGCCTCCTCTGCTGTGACCTGCTGTGGTTTTTTTTTTTTTTTTTTTTATTATTATTATTTATAAATCGGCTGTGTCTTCATATGTTGTTAGTACTGCCTTGGGCACTGGGCAGGATACAATAAAAGCGATACCTAGGGCGCAGTCAAGGCTGGAGTTTGAAAATGCAGTTCAGGTACTCTCTCCTGCTGGTAGTGATAAAAATGGTAAAAATGTTTTTTTCGGGCATTTCTTGATGTTGCGGTAGGTTAGCTGAGAGATAGGGCGTTTGTCATTTTGCAGTGACCCGTTCGAGTCAGGCCGGTAATGCCGGGCCCTTCTCCTGGCTTGTGTGTGTGTATAATATATATATATCAGCCTCCTGATGAGTAACAGTTTGTCACAGCCCCTCGTTTGTTGTCCTCTTCTCTCTCTCTCTCTATATATATATCGTCACAAACAGAACTGCCCGGTAAACCGTAGGCAGAGAGAGAGAAGAGGACAACAAACGAGGGGCTGTGACAAACTGTTTCGTCGGAGTTTCACCGACTCATCAGGAGGGTGAACCCTCAACAGTCTGCAGAATCCCCTCACTGATTACACTGTAAATGATAATCTACCTTAACCAAGATCAAAGTAGACTATCACTCACCCACACCAGATGGAAAACTCTACAGACTGTCGGTTCACATATATATACAGGGTAACGGGCGTTCGGGACAGGCCGACACCCGAACGTATGGGATCCCTTGGGGATGCGTTCGGTCGTTCGGGCCGAACGCGGGCCAAAAAAATAAAATCAAACAAATCTGAAAAAAAAAATATGTTATGAAGAAAAATAAATTAAACAAGATTTGCCTGAGCATTACATCCAAATTCCTTACCAAATCGGGCCGAACGCGGACCAAAAACATAAATAAATAAAAAAATCAAACAAATCTGAAAAAAAGATATGTTATGAAGAAAAATAAATTAAACAAGATTTGCCTGAGCATTACATCCAAATTCCTTACCAAATTTGAAGTAAAAATAAAATACGGAGAACAAATACTAATAATAAAAATAACAAAAAATAAAAAGAGAATTAAATTTAGTGAGTGCACCATCTTTGGTGATTTTTTTCATTTTTTTTTTTGGCATAGCTAAATGCGCTGAAAATTTACAGATGTGTACTTCACATAATACAAAACCCACTAAAAAAGTTTCAAAAAATAATAAAATTGTTTAGACCCCGAACTAAAGCGAAAACAAGAAGTAAAAAGTGAAAAAAAAGGTGGGCGAGCACGTTTTGACACCCCCATCTTTGGCGATTTTTAGTTCTTATTTGGCTGAGCCAAATGACGTCAAAATTAATAGGCATGTACCTCACGTCATAGAGAAGTCACAGAAAAAAAATCAGAAAAAAAGAAGAAAAAAAAAACATTATTTTTAGGCCCCGAAATATTTTTTGGCAGAGGCCGAAGGCAGCCAGGTTCGGACCCCGTACAGGACTCCGAACGCCCGTACGTACGGAGGTCGGGCCAGGGACCTCCGCACGTACGGGCTGGTGACCCTGTATATATATATCATCGCCCGCCCCAGAGGGGTTTTCGGTTCTCTCAGTGGCTGTTGATGTAGTTACACTGCTTGTATGAGGGGATGGGTCGGCTTTTCCTTTTGGTTTTGAGTGCCGTTGTCCGAACCAGCGTACCTCGGTTAACGAGGTTGGGACCAGCGTACCTTCGTTAACGAGGTTGGGACCAGCGTACCTCGGTTAACGAGGTTGGGACCAGCGTTGGGACCAGCGTAACTCGGTTAACGAGGTGGGGACCACAGGAGGTCAGAAAGGAGGGGAGGTGGGTGGAGATGCCAGGGTGACTTCTCTGGAACAGTGATTCCAACCGGTCGGTTAAGGCCGGCGTCAGGGCGCGTAGGCCTGTGTAATATAGTTAATGGGATGGCTAGGATAGCTTAGAGAGAGAGAGAGAGAGAGAGAGAGAGAGAGAGTTAGGAGGTCCTTTCTCAGCTACAAGAGAAAATAGAGTTGGATTTCTCGCAATCCCAATGACCCCGTTCATAGGAATCTGAGGAAATTTGGTTATTGAACCTTCAATTGGGATTATAGTTGATGATGAACACGATGATTGATTCCAGCCCTGATGGCTACTGCTGTCAGGATAACGCCGGGTACAATTGTGTGAGGCCCCCGGCCTCAAAGTTGATGTTTTGCAATACATGAATGATCTGTTGATTTTTTTTTTATTTTTTTTTTTTAAGGGAAAAAAGAAGAAGGTGAAATCACTTTATCAACGCACTTATTGTTTGCTGGTGCTTTGTTTTTTTGTTTTTTTTTTTAATTCTCTTCTGGTAGCGAGTGGAGGAAGCCGTCCGGCAAAAAAAAAAAAAAAAAAAAAAAAAAAAAAAAAAAAAAAAAAAAAAAAAAGAAGTAAAGCAGGCGCGCGTGGAAAGTCTTCGAGAGCATGTGACCGCAGAGACCGCAGCGCAAGCGTTCGAAACGCGGCGTCCAGGAATGTGCGCGTTGTTGAGGGCATACTCACACTACGACTTAGTAAAAAGCTTCTGGACGTCATGGCGGTCAGATACATCCAGATCCAGCCGTAAATGCGGTGAGATATATCGAAGGTAGTGCAGTGCTACCGAGTACGCCCTGAGTCTTGCACATGCAGTTTTCGATTCCATAGCTTGAAAATCATGTACCGAAAAACCGAAAGCAGTTTGGCCACTGTTTGTCACTCTTCTTTTTTGGGTTTTTTTTTTTTTTTTTCCTTTTTCTTTTTCTTTTTCTTTCTTTTTCTTTTTTCCTTTCTCACTTCCTTTTCGTTCTTTGGCGCGTAAGAAATGGCGCGTATGGCGCGTAAGAAATGGCGCGTAAGAAAGTCGTCTATGCGCGCCAATTTCCTGAATGCTGATCTTTATGATGCTGCGGTACGAAAGGCAGTTCGTCATTCACTTTTCACCATTCATTTTTCACCATTCACCTTTTACCATTCACTTTTCTTTTTCCTTTTCCCAATGCTCATAAAGAAAGATACGCCCACTACGAAACCGATCACTTTTCTTTAAGTTCCTCGTTTCCTTCTTATAGCCCGATTCGATTGTCATTCACAACCTTTTGCGATATAATATGAGTGGGTGAAACTCCGACGAGACAGTCTGTCACAGCCCCTCCCTCGTTTGTTGTCCTATTCCCCCTCTCCCTCCCTCTCTGCCCCTACGCTTTCCCGGACAGTTCAGTTTGACGATATACTCTCTTTTTTCTTTTCTTTTTTTTTTGTTTTTTTTTTTGTTTGACGATATATTAAGTTTGACGATATATTAAGTTTGACGATATATTCAATTTGATGATATATTAAGTTTGATGATATTTTCAATTTGACGATATAATAAAGAGAAACAAGAGAAGAAAAAAAGGATACGCATGCGAGACTCCAAGCACAACAGCATTACTTCATTACCTCCACTCCTAATGTAGTGGTCTGTTTCGACTTTACCTTTGTTGTTTTTAAAAACATTTTATTTATTCAACCGTATTTCAGGAAATCGGGTGAAGGCCGTGGGGCGGGGGGAGCGAGGGCGGGGGCTGCGAAAACTGAAAAAAAAAAAAAAAAGAACCTTTAAAAAAGTCGCCAGGCCTTCCTCTCTCCTTCAGGACGTGGCTCCTAAGAAAGGGAGAGGGGGGGGGGGGGGGAAACAAAAAAAAAAAAAAAAAACCAAAAAAAGATTAGAGAAACCCCCCCCCCAAAAAAAAAAAAAAAGAAGGAAATCCATAAAAGAAAGAATAATCTCCCAGTTCCCCCAGAAAAATGCAAAATAAAAAAAAGAAACGCAAAAGAAGGAAAGTTAGACCCAGGGGTGCAATAACGACAAAAAGGGGAAAAAAAACGAAGAAAACGATCGTGCAAAGAACACAAGACACAACACACTGCTCAAACAAATTTTCTCTCTTCCTCAATTTCCTTCACGAAGGAGTGAAAGAAAGTCTAAGCCCCCCCCCCCCCCCCCCCCAAAAAAAAAAAAAGAAAAAAAAAAGAAAAAGTATAAGCCCCGAAATCCTCTACAAGACATTTTTAAAAGTTAAAAATCCGTTTCCATCCATCCATCCATATCCATCCATATCCTTCCTTCCCTTCCTTCCTTCCCTTCCTTCCCTTCCCTTCCTTCCTATTTAGGAAAGAAAGTCTTCTCCTTGAATAAACGAGTACCAGTTTCTAAAAAACCCTTTATTATAAGGATTCCGAAATTCCCTTCCCGCAAAGGGTCTTCCAGGCAAGGGGGGGGTCTCCACATACATGGCAGGGTATTTTTCCCAATTTACAAATTCGTTGGTTGTGATGTTGACACTTATACAATAAAGGTGAAAGGAAAAGAAGGGTGTCATCCATAAGCTATTGAAGAGATTGAATAGTAAAACACAGACTAGCCAAGGGTGAGTGAGGATGACACGACATGCAAGAACTAAAAGTTTTTCCAACGGATAGAAAAAACTATCTTCACGAAGAGCAGATGGGATCAGGCCGGGCCCATGACTGTCGTAGTTTCCTTCTTCGTGGAGACCAGCAGGCTCAACCTCAAGAGTAAAAACGCCTTTTACCCGGAGACATTCACACACTTTCACCACAGTGAAAACGTGCCCAAGAATGAACACCAAGAGAAGGAACAGAAACAGAGGATGGTTATTCCGACCAATGCAGTTATTGACAGCTGGACAGTGATGATCAAAGCGATAAACGCAGACGCGACACTTGGCACAATGTTTAGATCGAGGTGGGCGATCGATATTGCACGTGCGGCAATAGGAGGAGAGGGAGAAGGGGGAGATGGCAGAGGAAGACAGATCCAATGGGGGAACAGGAGGAGGAGGAGGAGGAGGAGGAGAGGTAGGAGAGGTAGGAGAGGTAGGAGATCTCTCTTCTTCATACCCTCCTGATGACGTCAGCGAGAAAAACAAGTCGTCACGATCCTGTTTCCTCTGATTGACTGAACCTCTTCCTCCTCCTCTTCTTCCTCTTCTTCCTCCTCCTCCTCCTCCTCCTCCTCCTCCTCCTGCTTCCCCCCTTTGCCCCCTGAGAGGAAGAAGGGGCTGGGACAAAACACCTTCACCTCTCTTGTCCTTGGAAATCACCGTCGCTAGTAGCGATGGCAAAGACTTGGCCTCTTTCGATCCTCTTTGTTCTGTAACCTCTCCTTCGTCTTCTTCTTCTTCTTCTTCTTCTTCTTCTTCTTCTTCTTCTTCTTCTTCCTTTTTTTCTTTCTCCTCCTTGTCGTAGACTTCATCGCCCTCATCGTCCTCGTCTTGTTCTTCTTCTTCTCGCTCTCCCCAACGTACCACATGTCTCGCTTTTCCGTCTTCCATCTCGTTCAGCCCTCTTCCTCCTCCTCCTCCTCTTCCTCCTCCTTTCCCACCACTCTCGGTCGATTGTGCTAGTTCTACACTGCTCTCTTCGTCGTCTCTTAATACTCTCACCGTCATCCCCATCTCCATATCCAATTCCTTACTTGCTCGAGAAGTAAGAACGAGACCGGGATCGCTACGGATAACGCAAATTAGCGATCCCGTTGTCACAAGAACGAGCAGATGGAATGCCACGTCGGAAAGCGCGCCAACCACTTCTCTTATCCAGTACAAGTAACTCAGATACGTCGTTGTGATTCCCGCCAAAATGAAGCTCGGACCAAATGGCGGGCGATATACGATCGACCGCAACCACGTGGCCAGAAGATGCCAGCCAATGGCGGGAAAGGCCACATAAATGATGCCGTCAACAAATGCCTTCTCACTCCACGCTCGTACCGCCACAACGAAAACCGAGAACGAGCCAGGAATCAGAATCCAAGGCAAGACTATGGACGGAAGATCTGTACGCCTTACCGAGACCTTCCAATCCATTGAAAGCCGCGACCTATCTATCAACAAAAATCAATCAATTGACTAATCACACAATAATCAATCAACCAATCATCCAAGCAATCAATCAAACGCTACACAGAGAGAGAGAGAGAGAACAAAAAGGCTCAAACAAACTATCAAACACCCTGTTCTCTCGACCTATCACCTACGGCAATGGCCATCAAGCAACGACGTGCCGGCGTGGCGCGTGCTCTATGCGCTACATGTGCCGCTAATCAGAGTGCGACAGAAGAAGACGCCCGCGCATGCGCGACAACAGCCGCCCTTGCGCACTGCCTTCCGCCCCCGTCCCCGCCCTTCCGCCCGCTTCGCCTCTGAAGCGTGTTCCCGCTCTTCAAAAACCACTCTAAGCAGAGCGGCTGTGAGACAGCCGATGGCAATCCCTCTCCATGCTCGACGCGTGCCACGTGTCATTCCTAGAATTCACCACTGAAAGACACGCACACGTCTACGGAGAGAAGATGCGTCTATGTGCACGTGGCCAATTTTCCACTTGAGGCCGGGACACTCACGGCAGCAGGAGTTCAGTCGATGCCTCCGACCGACATTGCGCCCGCATTCAATCGAAAACATGGCGCGAGTCTGCCCCGCCCTCTGTACTCACTGGCAAGAACCTGTTCTGCTGTGTCTCACATAAAGCTTCACCTGAGACTCTATACTTTTACTAGGACTTCTCTTGGACGTATAGAACCGCCATGGCGTCCAGATTCACTCCAAGAAGTGCTGGCGTAAGTGATTACGCCCTACAATCCCGCCCCAGCAACGCCCTCAGGATTGCGTCGGCGACATCGAGAGTCGCCGGAGTGATGGCTTCATCCTCCATCGCCAGAACTCCTTCGATCTACCGTCTCTACGCCCGAAGGTGCGGGGGTATTCACACTGCCTGATACATGCATCTAACTGGGATTCCGTCCAAGTGAGATCAGTCGGACAAGCTGGGGTGTAAGTATACATATACACCCTGAAAGACGATGTTTTTCGCGGGGAGTAGGATGGGGGAGGGAGTAGGCTGCCGGCCTGCCTGCCTACTACTCCTGTACGCCAAGTGGCTGTCTCTCCCTTTACGCGGGCTTTGCTAATGTTCTCTGTGACCGTCGATTACATCACGAAGGTTGTCCGCCAGAAAGGGAGAATCAGGGCGTAGCTCCACTACTCCCGAAAATGCACAAAAGCATTTCCTTCGAAGGTAGGAGTCCATCCATATACAGGCCCACACATCTCCTGGTCGCCTCAGGTTCCAGGTTTTTGCCAGCAACATTTCTGCGAGCAATATCCAATGTTGGTCATCTGCTGCATTAAGAGCCTTCATTACCCAGTTACCCAACAGGGCCATATTTTGCTTCTCTGGGTCTCTGAGGTCCAGACCTTCTTCCCGTGGGAAACAGATTTGATCCCACGCTACCTTGGAGATGCATCCTTCTCCTTCCTTCGCCGAAGGTTTCCAGATGAAGCGAGTGGCCCGGCGTTTTATCACCGTCCTTGCTCTCCGACCCAGAGGTCTGACTTTTGCAACGTACCATAGCAAGGCGAAAAGCGCAGCATTAACAACCAGCGCCCTTCCCATCAGAGACAAGTGTGGGGCTTTACCCCATATGGAGGCTCTGCTTACCACCTTCTGTTGTAACAGCTCATCCTGGTCTGCGGCGCAGGACGGAAGGGCCACTTGGACGCCCAGAAATCTCTCTGACTGGTGATCTGGAATTCGTTTCATTCCCCATTCTACACTGAGATGGTATGTACTCGGCAGCAGGAAGGCAGACTTTGACCAGTTTATGGCCGCCTCCGACAGATCTTCGTATTCTTTCAAGCGTAACCTCAGAGCGCGCAGCGAGTCCTCTGTGTTTTCTGTAACTGCAAATAAATTGTCCGCTAGTGCCTTAACCCGACAGTCTCGTCCACGAGTAGGGAGTCCAACTATTGCAGCGCTACTACGGATATTACATAATACTGTTTCCAACTGTACCACGAACAAAAGTGGTGCCAAGGGGCATCCTTGACGAAGGGAACGAGATAGGGGAAACGCCCTCGAGAAGTGTCCGTTTACCATGACTACGGCCGTGGAAAAGGAGTAGAGCACAATCACCCAATGACAGAAATTCTCCCCGAAGTCTAGCCAGCGTAGTGTGGTCAGGACGTATGACCAATTCACTCGGTCATAGGCCTTTTCCATATCTAATAATAGTACTGCGAAGTTCCTGTTCTCTTCTTGAATCAGTTCCATCGACTCTATCGTTGTGACAATATTGTCCATGATCGAGCGTCCTTTGACAAAAGCTCCTACCTTCGGCGGTGCTGACTCAGCACGGAAAGGACGGAAGGGAGCACGTCATTGAGTATGCGTCCAAGACGCTGAGCCAGGCGCAGACTAATTACGAAGCGTGCAAAGGTGAATGTCTGGCGGTGGTGTGGGGGATTCAGCATTTCCGACCGTATCTGTACGGCCAGAAATTCGTGCTGGTAACGGATCATCAGCCGCTGCTGTCCCTACGCAACAACACAAACTACACGGGGACGCTGGGCAGGTGGGCGGTGCGTCTGCAGGACTATGACTTCGACATCCGCCACCGTGCCACGCGGCAGCATGGTAACGTCGATGGATGAACGCGCCTTCTGCCGCCCAACAAGTGTCCCGCCAACGAGCGACTCATTCCGTGGAGGCCAGAAGTCGCCGCGACGAAACCGCACTACGGGGAGCTACACGTGCTGCGTAAGGACGACGCCTGAGTCCGGAATGGAGGTTTCATCAGAGATGGTCGACGCTATCTCTCTGCCCTCGTCCCACTCCCTCGCTCTTTCGTCTAGCCCCAACCTGTCCCCTGAAACACACCTAAGTCCCTGTTTCTTCTGTACCTTGCCCATGATCTCGGACCACGAAGGGTCACATCTGGGAGGGCCCAGTTTTCTTTTATGGGTATAGTGTAGTCAGTGTCATACGGTCAAATCTCACGGACAGTGCGTTAGGTACCGAAGTGAAAAGACGTGGGTCTGTCCCAACTGTAGAACGGACCAAGTCCCTACCGAGAAGCGGTATTTGGACGCTAGAACAGCCGACGGATTTGCGCCAAGTGCCCGCCGGGCAAAAGCTTGGACGAACCTTCTGTTGCTACGGAGACTGTCAGGCGACTCGTTGTCATAACTTACCAAAGCCGAACGGCGGAGAGTCACGGAGCGGCGGGCGCAGGACTATCGCTGGTTGGGCCCGACGTTACAAAAACGGTAGGTCGATGACGACGGAGAGTCTAGCTGGTTGACGGTTCCACACCCTCTTGCTAGGCTCGATTGGACACGAGCTGCTCATGAGGAGGATGCGGTCCATTTCGCGGTCAGGTACACGGAAAAAGCCATCGAAAAGAACGGATGGTACTGGTCGGGAATTCGGGAAGATGTGAAATACATCGTTCAGAATTGCCCGGCCTGCGCGGCGGACAAGGCGCCGGTAAAGATGCGTCGGACGATGGTTCCCACTCGTGTAGAGCGCCCCTTTCAGAGGGTTAGCATCGATACGACGGATATCAACGTTCCGAGATGGCCCGTCGATCAGGGAGAGCTCAATGTTCTTTTAGTGGTCGTCAATCATTTTTCAAAATGGATCGAGGCGTACCCTATGACCAGCCGAAATTCGCAGGAAGTAGCCTGGTACGTAAATCGATTTTTGTGCATGCATCTAGACGTAGAAGAGGTACACATGGACAATGGGTCGGAATTTCAAGGCGAAGTAGAACGTCGCCTAGTCAGGGCGGATGTTAAGATTATCTACTCACCGGGGCATTGGCCTCAAGCCAATGGCCTGGTAGAGAATGCCAACCGACTGATTAAGACGACCCTTAGACGAAATATCACTGCGGGAGACACCCGACCCTGGCCGGTCATTGTCGATCACATTTTGGCCGTTTGTCGGGCTACCCCACACGGTAGTATTGGGGTGTCCCCCTTTCAACTGAGAACCAATAGTGTCCCTCGGGTGCAATTGTCCCCCTTAGTAGGTATGGAAGTTAGAGCAACACGGGCCCAGAATCGAGACAAGGCCCCCCACTACATGGACTTAATGGCTAAGGGTCTATCCCCCGTTAGCTCGCCGTCGACAGCAGGCCGTAGATCAGACACATCAACGGCAGATCCGTGATTACGAGAATCGACACGCGTCGGCGGGACCACTGTCCCACTATAAAGTTGGGGACTTGGTGCAGGTACGAAAATCTGCGCGTTCCTCCAAGATCCACCCGCGCTACACAGGCATTTACAAGGTCACGGAAGTTGGCGCACAGGGACAGCAGTCCGTGAAGCTGATTACCCGTCACAACTCCCAGGCCCGACCGCTGACACGACACGCTGCCACGCTCCGGCCCTTCCAACCATCGCTAGGTCCCCTACGGACCCCCGCTCCTACGAGATCACCCTCTCCTTCTTCATCCTCCTCCTCTTCCCGATCTGCCTCGTCCATTGGTGCTGAGAGTTTCATGGAGCAGGATGAACCATCGCCAGCCAGAGCATGAGCCCCTCGAGCACTTCCAGACCCCGCTTGCAGATCGCTTATTGCGGCATCAGTTTAATGAGGAGAGGCAGTTGCGGTACGACATCCAACAGGTGAATGTGCCAGCGCCCGGGGTTGCTGATTTGGCAGCGTACTCGTTGCTTTGCGATCGGCTGACATATGCGGGAGTGTACGTGGACGTGACGCAGTTGCCTGGTCGGGAGACAACCCGAGTATTCATTGAGTTCCGTGTGCTCCAGGTGGCACCCAACTTCGTGCACAGCGTCGCCACCTTCATCGGAGACTTGACGGTCCTACCGCAGCAGAATCAGGAACCGGCGCGCAGCTTTGTGCGCGAATACACGGTGGAAGCGGCCAGATTAGTGGCCAGAGTGCAAGGACGAGGGGGACATCGATGCACAGCCCACGAAGTGCTACTGCGTAGGGCAGAGGACGGACCGATTGCGTTGGTGCCGCAGCTCCCCGCGCTTCTCCCTCCCGCTGCTCCTCTCAACCTCTAAGCTATTCCCCCTGTCCCGTACTAAATGCCTCCTTTCTTCTCCTACACCACCCTCCCCGACCAGCTCACGGAGGGCCCTTACCCCATGCGCGAGTTCTCGGAGTATTTGGTGGAGCTAACTGACGTGGAGCCGCTGCCCTTCGCCGACGAAGACGCGTGGGAGTTGCACCGTGCACTGTACAAGTCGGTGGCGCTGGGGATGTTCCGGTTCTTCGTGGGTCACGAAGACCACGCTATCGGGGAACACTTCATCGTTTACTACGTCATCGCGCGGCCCAAGCCAGCGGAGAAGGAAGGGACGGTGGCGCTGTACCCCTTCGCCCCGCTCCAGACAATCGATCCGGGATTGTTGGAGCTCATACATCTTGAGCTCCTCTCCATTGCGCAAGTGATCGCGAGCGAGAGGAGGAGATCCAACCACGATTGCGGACGGCGACGGCCCCGCGGAGAACGTACAACGCGGTAGTCATCCCGGATTACATTGCGCAGCGCGCTGAGAGATTGGAGGACTTCCCAGAGGAAAGGCCGTTGTGTCCTCCCTCGTCGTATCCTCAACCAACGCCAGCGAAGGCCCCCAAGAAGACGCCGAAGAGGAAGAGACGCCACCCGTCGCCAGGAGCGCAAGGTAGCAGGATCGGCGGCGGCGAG